CCTGCCTAGGCAGGGACTTGGACTAAAAGACTTCCAAGGTCCCTTCCAGCTCTGCTATTGAATTGTATTGTATTAAACCTGTAGGTTAAATATATTTATATTTATATAAAAGTCTACAAATCTGTGTCAATATCTTCCAACTTCATCTGCAGCTGCTGTGCAATTTCTTGACAGAACATCTTCTCCGGATAACTTTTCCCAAAATAAAATGCCTCTGGCTAGAGATTCATCTAGTTGGGCTTGACCTTGGATATGTTGGCCAAATCCAACACTGGGTTAATTTTACCCACTGTGGTGAGAGGATGAATCATGCCGAATGAAGGAAAGTGGGGTTCAGCATTTAATTTCTGTGCAAAAGTAAATCTTGGACTTTCAACTTGGGCTTAGTATTAGTAATGTAAAACCTTAGTAAGGCCACACCTGGAATACTGCATTCAGTTTTGATCACATTACCAAAAAAAAGGTGTTAAAATTTTGGAAAAAGTGAAGAGAAAAACAACTAAGATAATTGAAGTCCTTGAGGACTATAACATGAAAAATGATTGCAGGAACTGGATATGGCTAATCTAGAGAAAATAAGGACTAGGGGAGACATGACAGCTGTATTTCAATATTTGAGGGGCTGCCACAAACCACCAGAAGGCAGAATGGATGGAAACTACCGTATGTTTCAGAGTAAAGGACGCACCTTTTTCCCTCAAAAAAGAGGCTGAAAATCTGGGTGCGTCTTATACACCAAATACAGCATTTTTGGCCTCCTGAAACCCAACCCCCTTTGCAAAAATGGCTGTGTATAGCCTTTAGGAGGCTTCCAGAGTGCTCCTGGGAGATAGGGAGGGCAAAAATGAGCAAAAACCAGGCCGTTTTGAGGGGGGGCAGACTCCAGGAGCCTCCTAAAAGCTATGCATGACCTTTTTTTGACAAAAAACAAAGTGCAAAAACCTTTTTTTTATTTGCCTCTAAAAAATTTAGTGCATCTTATACTCTGAAAAATACGGTAATCATGGAGAAAGGCAACCTGTAAGTAAGGAGAAACTTCCTGACAGTAAGATCCATTAACTAATGAAACAGATTGCTTTCAAAAATTGTGGGCAGGAGGTTTTCAAGGAGAGACTGGACACCCACTTGTCTGAAATGGTATAGGGTCTCCTGCTTGAAACACAGGGTTGGACTAGAAGATCTCCAAGACCCCTTCCAATTGTGTTATTCTGTTATTGGAAGATTGGAACATCTGGGGAGGGGAGGAGAGAATCCTCCTACCTTCATTGGAAGTTCAACTGCTGTTAATCCTCCATTACAAAGACCTGAGGTTCCGGGAGATGAAGACGAGGCCATGAGAGTGTCTAGAAATGAAAAAAAAACAGCAAAGGAATTATTTGTTAGCAAACATCCTAAATATCTTCTTGAGCATACAGTGCAGAAGGCTGATTTTAGCCTATTTCTAGGCTAACTAGGGAACCCCTTTATGTGAGTCTGTTACAACCACAACAACAATACATAGAAGCTCACCCTGGGTGAGGGGAAAACGGAAAGGTGTGGAAGGACCAAGGATTGGATTCAGAGGCAGCACTCTGGGCCATGACTTTATGCATTAAAGAACCAGAGAGCTGGACTCTGAATGCCTCAAGCAGATCCCCTCCCATATCCAGGGAGTTGTGCTGAGTTGTTAATCAGGAATAAAAAGCCTGGCCTGGCACCAACAAACAGACTCAGTCCAATTCTCTTTCAGATTCTCTAGCCCTAGCGCTCAGTATATTTAGCAAAACTGTTGCAGAAAATAACAGGACTTGGACTTTCCAGGATCTGGGAGAAGTAGTTTTTATTTGGCAGCCAAAGAAAGGTTCAGAAATAGGTTAGCAAAGGTAGCCATATGAATATCTGAACAGTGTTCTGAAGGAAAACACATATCTTTATACCTTGTAGAAAGCAGAAATATCTAACTTATTTCTGATTGGTTATACAATTATTACCTTAATGAAAGCACCTTATGACTTTGCATAGAAGCAAATAACTCTCTTGCTTCCCTTCTCTGAGCGACAGGCTTCATGCAAAGAGCTCTAGTTTCATTATGACTACGTGGTTATGTGAGAACTTTAGTTGAACTTTTTTTTTTTCACGGATGGAACTTTTGCAGGGGCTCCCTATTTTTAAACTGAATGGATTAATTCTTTCTTCTTCTTTTTGCACTTTTGCTTATACCTATGGATTAAAATTCTCCTTTTTTATAATGCTTGATTTGATTGATTGGATTGTTTTTTGTCTCTGTTTAAGTTTTTTTTCTTAAGCTTGGAATATAAAGATAATAAGAATGATTATAAAGAGGGTTGTAACAACAGGAGGAAAAGCAGTTACACTGCCA